ACAGGCCTTTCAATTGCGGATTGGTGGGAGGAAGCATCGGTAGCTATATTGCCGAGGCCCATACACCGCGCAACCACAATAGACCTAAGCAAAGCAACACTAGTGGTGCTCGGGTTGTTGACGACAGCATATCTCCAGGTAGGTATGACGGGCTATTCTAAAACCACATGTCCAATTCTTTGGAATGTACAGAGTTTGCTTCACATCACATAGGTACGCATTTGATGAGCATGAGGTCGATGCAGCTGTGCCCTATTCTCTAGAATCTCAAGTGTCTCCAGCAACATGTCAGTCTTCGAGACAAAGATTAGATCGCCCAAAAGTATACAAATGATTCAGTGAAGATATATAAGACATTTGTCTGGCTTTTTAACACTACGCGATGCTCCTAGAAGAGAGGTGTTTCTGGTGACAAGACGGTTAGTCCGGTTCTAATGCGCGAATCATCACACTTCGCATCCTAAGAAGCTTCCATATATCGTCTTTCGAGTATCATGATGGTTGTGCAACTACGGTGACGCAGCTTCCTACCGTGCTATTGTAGTCGGTTGCCAGACCTTCAGGATGCAATTTCCTTCATCTTGAAGTATCATTTAGGGACCTCCGTACAGCTCAGGAACTGAACAGAACCAGGGTGATGCTCCATCATAGAAACAGCACGCAAGGCTAGAGTCATGTTTCGAGGCTAGTAGACTCACTTGATTGAGATCGCTCAAGGTCGAGAATGAAGAATGAGCGAAACCATCACATTGTCGTCTATACACTCCTCGCCATGCTGAAACTTTACCCACCCAGCGCCACCACTTACGGCAAGACGCAGCTGCGATGGGGTCCTGACGATTAGTAAGATGAGGCTGTGTATCCTGCGGAGGTGCCACAACTACCCTGCCTCGGGATGCCCCATCTAGGATGTTTCAGTGGAATCACGAAGGGGAGTTTCTTGGTTAGAGCATGAACAGCATTCTCAGTGACGATCCCTGGTAGAGATCTCAATAGGCCAGAGCGCTGCCTTGTGAATCAACCCCTTATATACCAAGAAACTACCGTTTTCACGCACTGTTCAATGGACTTCATTTTCGGAACATGTCGGAACATGAATACGGCTGGCGCCTTCAGTCGACATGGTCAAGGGATCATTGCGACATTTGTGGCTGTGGGGGACCCTCTTTGCTATGGTCGGTGTCTTGCATTCGAGTAGAATGTATCAGAATCGGCATGGAAGACGGCTATTTCCAACACATGGTGACGCTTATTAGGCTGGTTCTGGAAGATGAGCCCAAGAAGTCTTTGCTGCCACTGTGGAAGAAGGACTGGTTTTGAGGGACGCGGACACTCTAACAAGCGATAGCATCGGAGATATGCACTTAACTAGAAGTGAGTTGCCTTCTTCCCAACTTGAGAAGACTGTTGACAGTATGACCTGCCACTACAGCAATTGCTTTCCCTCATGATATTGTGGTGATTAGGTAGTACTGCCTATCAGCACATCACAAGAGTTTTCATACTTGAGTAGAATCCGTCCGAAAACTCCAATGAGCAAGTTGACGAACGAGGTCAGCGACCGAGGCCCGAGGCTAGTGACATACGATTCGGATGTACAAAACATCAGTATGACATTGTTGGACAGTGGCCATCGGGCATGGCTGGCAATATGTTCGGAATCGAATCCAACGCATAAGCGCTTTTTTGGCATTGTTAAATTTCTCAGTAGCGAAGCTAGCAACCGCATCATCGTCATCATAATCACACGAACCCACGCCTCTAGCCAGCCACACAAGATTGATCGGCATCTCCATCTTGCCGCCTTGAGGCACGACGCTTCACTCCATAACCCCATCGCTCAAGACGCATACGACACACAACAACCCGCTACACATCAGCGGCAAAGCACGCACAACGCTCACAGCAATCCGTTCGGCCAAGGCGTATCCTTGAGCCCACCCGCGTAATTCTCACGCAGCATGTCGAAATACCTGATCTTCGTCTGGCTCAGATCGATGCCTTCCTGTGGCTGATCGACTGTAGCGAGATTCACGGCGAACAGCTCATGTTCCTTGCCGCCATGCGGATAGGACCCTTCCATCCAGACATGGGTGCCGCACTTGTCGCAGAAGTACCTCGCCACCGACTTGATCCTGGGCGCATAGTTGGGCAGTTCTGCCTTTGACCCAGGACTCAAGAGCGTGAAGGTCGAGTTGACATCCTTTGCAAGATGAAGGTTGGTAGTGCCCAGTTTCTGGCAAAAGGAGCAGTTGCACCGGTTGGCGTTGAGGAGGAGGTCTGGACTGGCGGTGAAGCTGTATTTGATATACCTATATAATTAGACTATGTAAGCAGTCGCCCGTGGAGCAGGTCGCAGGCTAGCTTGTTGTCCGGAAAGACTCACCCACAATGACACCCACCTTGAACTTTCAACTTGCTGTCGTCGGTCGCCATGTTTTGCACTGTGTCTAAATACTCTCACACTTGGGTATTGATTTCTCAGGTGTTCTGCGTTTAAGGAATGGACGCTTGCTTAGAACGGTATAGTGCACAGTGCCTAGAGCATGTACATAGTGGTCAAGACCTCGCTGTAAGGACTAAGGCGTAGGAATTTATTTGAGAGTGACGTCAGCGTGGTAGTGGTAAGATATAGCGTCTGTGAGTTTACTTCGTAATGCTTGATTCTTTAATAGACTTGCGCTGCTTGCGAGGCCTATACAGGAAGAACGCTTGGTATTTAATCACGTGACATTTCTTCTATGTCCTCTACCTGTTAACCTTACGCATACAAGGCAGCAAATCATCTTGTCAACCTTGAGCTTTTGCCGTACCTTAGCGACATGCATTACGTGAATGTTGCATAGTTTTAAGAATAGCTCATTCTGGCAGGTTCTCATTATGATTGATGATACTTAGCAGTGAAGTATCATCCACCAAGGCAAGCGCTGCGAAACTGCGTCAAACAACAGACTAACACCTCCAGTCAACGTCGCCATTTCGCTATTTGAGTCTAGCTTAGGGAAGTAAGGTCATCAATTCAAACTGTCTGGACTGTTGATTGAGGAAGTCTAGCTAGTCTAATTTCCTCATTGGATATGTCAAGGATACGCCGGCACTAGGTGGTCATAATGTTATACACGCTAGATTGTTGCCTGAAAGACAAGATCCTGACAACTACCGAACAATACAAGCTAGAAAAAATTCAGGATAAAGCCATTAGACAAGCATTTGAGATGGCCAATGCATGTTGGCGACTTAATTTTCCTCGCGTTGGACCTCTCGGCTTTCTATCAAATCAGCTAGTAACCACTCGTCCCAATAGACGCCTTCGCTATCTTGCCGGTCTTCAGGATTCCACTGTAACATTTTTCTCATAAAGGCAATGAACTCTTGCTTCTCCTCGCCTTCCAGTGTCATATGCATGCGCTCCAAGCTTGTGTCTGGAATTGGGACTAAGTTTTTCCAAGTACCTGTTCTGCAGCGTTAGAGTGGTGGATTCCTCGTCCAACGACAGGGGTATCGATCTTGCCACTGACAGTTCTTCTCCCAGTATTGGTCGGCTTTCTTACCACACTGCCGCAAGAAATCTAAAGAAGGCGGACCCATGATGGCTATCATTTGGGCAAGGTGATGGGCCTCGGAGTATCGACCTTCCGAGTCTTGGGCCAAGAACAGGCGTTTCGGCTGGAATAAATCCCAGAGCTATCGTGTACAGGGCCATCGTCAGTATTGATTCGCCCTTGTATAATCGGAACGTACATAGTAGCCAAGCTCATGGTGATGAATCATGTAAGAAGACTTACCACCATTCCGAATCCCCATATGTCGACTGGATAGCTCCAGGGGAGACCAAGTATAACCTCCGGTGCGTGGTAAACATTTGGCATGATCCAATCTGTGTGTTTGGAGTCTCCAAACCTCGCTTCGCTGAGGTCCGTTATAGACGGTCCCCCTTTGGTCAGTAGCATTGGTCGCGACAGGTAAATGGTGTGGTCACCAAGCACTTTTCGCGGGCATGGATTCTCAATCTCATACTGTTCGAATTTTGCGAGCACGGAGTAATCGTGGATCCCGAGCAGCATGTTCGAAGGCTGCGCTACTCAGATAAGTTGGCTGCTTATTGTGTTCTTTTGTCTTAGTAACCTACAATTTCTCCTTATATCTCAACTACTTGCGATATACGAAAGAGACATTGCTCCCATCGTGTCACGTCGACAGTCGACGAGCGTTATTCGGCTGGGATCCATTTAGTTGCGATGGGGGCGCGGACCCTACATTTCAAATATCTTGTCTTCGTCTAGCATTCTCTACAATGTTGGAGAGACACAGATCGAGGCGCTCGAATCCAGTATCTTATCGCAAAATAATTCAATTTATTCAAGATTTTCTCTTGCATCCAGCTTAATTGACTTCAACGTACATATGCCGAATACACAAAGCGTCTGGACGATGTGCACAAACGAACAACGTGTATCTATCTTTAGATATGTAATTTCGGTTTCTCTCGCCTGTGGTGACAAGTGATGAAGTCAGGGACGTGCTGTAGGAATTTCCTTGAACCCTGCTTTGTGGATACTTCTGAATAGCCTTTGCTGTGATATATGATGTACATGAGGCAGCTCTGCGCAAGGGAGTAATTCTCCCTCGCTACATTCCTTATAAGTAATAGGACATGATGAAAGACGTGCCTAATACATTCAGCATCTCTCAACGAAATGTTAGCAAGTGCAACGCACGATCTGAAAGTGACTCAATGATAGAGTTGCAATCTCGCTGAGAGAATAATGTCCGCATAGCAGCACGCAGAAAAAGTGAGATGGAGAAACATGCTAGATTAATTCGCGTCGTATGATGTGAACCTCTCATAAAACCCCGTTAAAATGACTGATTATACTTTTACACTGTCTGAATGGCAGTTGGATGCTGGTCTCACTTCGATGATCAAGTGATTCTAAATCGATGTATAGTTCGTAGTACGAGAACGGCAGAGTGCGAATTGAAAATAAAAAGATAAGCGTCGACGCCGGCAGGATTCGAACCTGCGCCCCCGAAGGGAATTGATATCGGAGCATAGAGCGAAGAGACGCAGAAATTCGAGTCAATCGCATTAACCACTTTGCTACAGCGCCAAAGTCACGAGGATGTAAAAGCAATAACAATCTATACAATATATATCCCAATTACTGCTCTCCGAAGCTCGGCCGGTGCTGGGCTTTTTGGAAGTATCATGGAATTGAATTAACCCATGTTCATTTGTTTATGTCTGCTACCTCTGTTCTTCCATCATTTAAAGTCACCTCTTTCGGCATTTCGCATCTTCAAATTTTTCACCTGGACTCGCAATGGCAGAAACCGACAGATACGTTAAGGTAATGCACAACGTAGCCCTTGTCTGCGTTGTCACATGCCCCCTGGTCATGCTACTTCCGCCGAGGAAGCTGGGATTCTCTACCATTATGCTGGGAGGCATGACGACATACTCAGCTAACTTTCTTGTGCGTGAGAGAACTGGAAAGTCGCTCTGGCAAACCATCTCGCCTCAAAGCAGGCAGCGTGCTGAGAACGCGCAGATATGGAGTGCTCAGGAGGGAGTGCGACAGCAGAGGCAGGATGCCATTCTACCCAAAGATGAAGCGCTTACGGCTAGCCTTGGGTCGCAGGATCGCCCTGATGACTGGAAGAGCCGGAGAGATGAGGAGGTAAAGGAGGCATTGGAAGACGGCAAAGGGATCGGGGACATGATCTATGACCAGATATGGGAGGTGGTGAGCTGGGGAAAGAAGGCCGACGATGACAATTGAGCATGCTATAAGCGATTTAGTGGCTTGGATCTGGTAAGCCCTTAATGCTCTGCTGTATTACGAGCACAAAACTGGAGGGCAATGGAAAGCACCTCACAGACGACGCTGATCCGCTGCAAATCCACTAAATCCGACTGACAACCCTTCGATTTATGGTGCAGTCAATCTGTCGCACTAGGTCGTAAATCTTTCTGGTCGTTGCCAACAAGCTCTACAAACTCACTGCTTGACACCTTGGCTTCAAGTTGACCATTGTCGACTAATTTCATGGCATCTCGGACTGCCTCACGGATCGTGGCTTTGAACTCCCCGACGGTCATTGCAATCATGACAGCTTGTGCTTGATCGCATCTTTCGAGCGAAGGTACTGCAGAATTTTGAGCACGGGCACTGCTCAGCCTTGGATCCATCTCAAAGCTTGAAGAGAACGGCTTCCATCTTGCGTCAGGAACATCTGAGTAGAACTGGGGTTGAGAGCTCATGCTCTGCACTTGACCGGGTGCAAGGTGTCCAGATGATACAGGCTTCCATGCAGGAACCTGTATCCTAGCCATTGGAGCGCCTGGTGGTAGGCTTCTTGTGACCAGTGTAGCCACCGTGCCCGTTGGCTGATCTTCACTCCTTCCGTTTCGGCCGTACGGACTATGTCTCACAGACGACCTGCTGGCTTTCCCTCTTGTTTTACACATGCCAGTGAACTTACACTCAGGCAGGCCCAAGGAATGGCCTCCACGATGGAATACCATTGGCGGCGTCTTCAAGCTTTGCGTGCTCGCTGGTAGCTGTGAATCACATCGCTGGTGAGAATTGACGAGCTCTTCCAAGGATAGATAGTTCGGCGGGGCCTTACGTTCTCCTAGACGCTGCTCGATGGTGGTGTGGTACGGCGTCGTCTCCATGAAGTGCTGCATGGAAGGGGTTTGATGAGATGTCAGTACGCCTTCATCTTGAGGTTCTCTAATGCTGTTCAATTGATGTTGTACTGGGTATGTTGCGAAGGGCCTCATAACTGGCCATGCATCAACGGTATGCCTGCAATTGGGAATCGCTGAATGATCAGTACTATCTGCGTTGCTGATATTAGAGACGTTATTATCAAGGTCTTGATTGGTGTTGAAGTTCTTCATGTATTCAGGTTGGTAACGTGATAATCTGGCATCAGCTCAGAGGGACGATAACAGTTGGGGTGGCATGAAGGCACGCACAACCCTCATATCCTCTACATACTATATCCTGGCACGTCCCTTTTCAATTTCCACCAGGCTTTGTCTTGCGAGACAAGGTTGCTGTACCCGCATATAACAATGACCTGGAAACATAACAGAGATCATGATCCGGTCAGTGAGACTAGACACGAGAGGTAGTCCAGTATAACGCAGGACTAGTGCCTTGATGGATCGCTCCGGCTTGATCTTTTGTCGTAGCCACAGCTTCTTGACTACAATTTCCCTGAGTCGCACTGGGCTCTTTGTGAGCTAAAACGTGAGGTTCGTCCATCATTTCATGGGCGGAGCCACCATGTCTTATTCTTTATCCATCCAGATTATCCAATTCCAACGTACATTGGCAGGTACTCGCGCCTCGATTTGCTTGCATACGACTCATAAGCGCCTCATTGGCTATACTGATGCCAAGGTACTCTTGTTGTCGAAGGTGGGAGAGGGTAGATACCAATATGAAGTCTCAGCGCATCGTCTCAGAGTGCGATGACTTTGTAATTATAACAATGTGACTTCATCCACCGTAACGTTACTTCATAACCTACTAGAGCACACTTTAAACGACACGATATGCTACATTCTTGTTTCGCGCCACTATCGCCACCAGGCGTGTTCATTGTATCGTATGTTATCTTTTACCAGTGGAAGTGATTCGCTAGATGTTGTCTTGGAGGTGTGAGAACAAGTCCTTGCTATTCCGCCTTTGCCTTTTCGTTCTTATGCCTCGGTTTCCCGTTATCGGAGCTACTCTTGTCACGGCTAGTTGCACCCGGTGTCTATGTAATGTCTCTAAGCTTCCAGCTCAACAAGATCTCCATCCATCGTTCAATACGCATATGTATCCTGAACATGTATCCTGTAAATTAGCACGTCTTTATCCTATCATAGTCTCACTTGCATGTCCAATCAAGACACCAGCCAAGACACAATGCAAGTGTTCTGCCTCAAGGATGAAGGCGCCATCTCGCCATCAGTTCTAGATCAATCATCTAGCAGTTCATTACTGGCCCTGCCAGCCGAGCTGCGCAACACGATCTGGTCTCTCCTCCTCATTCATGATCAAGAGGCATACTCATTCTCCCAGACACACTATGCCGCCGCCAACCTACGTGACTATTCTCCTAGAACAACCCATCGCTTCTCTCCCAGCATCCTCTACACTTGCAAGCAAATCAATGCTGAAGGCACACCGATTCTCTACGGCGCAAATACCTTCAATGCGCACGCCTCTCTACTTGCCTCGCTGCCCTCGCTGATTCTGTTCTCACGCGGGTCGCGCAAAGCTCTCTGTCCGCCCGTGACTTCGCGGCGGGTCATCAACCTGATCAAGCGCTTCCATTTTCATGTCAGGCTGGACACGGACCCGCGCTTCACGCGCGCACAGGCCGAGGAGAGCTTCAGTGGTGCTGAGGAAGTGGTGGTGGACGTGTTCCAGGCGATGTATGGGAGTTGCGGATTTGAGGTGCTAGCGCTTCTAGAGGGCGTGAGGGGCGTGGAAAGGGCGGTGGTGGGTGGGAGTGTGGGGAATGGGAAGTATGCACGATGGCTAGAAGGGAGTATGATGGCACCTGTGGGAGCGGAGGTGAGAGGATTTCTTGAGGGCGGAGGAGTTGAGCGCGCTGGTTGGGATACCTGGGCCAATGGCAATCGGTAAGCCTCTGGACTATGTGGAAATTGCGAGCGTACTTATTGCAGTAGGAGACTGCGACGTTCCATCTCCTATATGAGTTACAACTGACCCGAAACACCCAGCGGGTAACTTATAGTAGATAACAACAGAATCAATTCCAGTACTCTATCTCGAAAGTCTTTAACTGCCCTATTTTTTCTTTCTCTTGATGCAAGACTTTAACTTCTCGAAACCTCTTACAAAGCGCGCCTGGTCTACAATGAAGAAAGCTAGCGTACTGACTGGGATCGCAACAACGAAGTATATCCAAAAAGTCTCTGACAATTGCGTGACATCACTGGACATGCTGAAGAAGCTCGACACGAACGACAATGGAGCGAATATAACAGCGAGGTAAGTCAGTCGACCTAGATAGGTATTCAAGCCAATTGCTCGCCGGCTCTCTTCGATTGATATAATAGCGGTAGCCACGCCGACGATACGTTCGATACGATTCTGGAGGTCGTTGATCGCCTCACCTGCGCCTTGGAAGTCCTGCTGCAGTGACTTCATCCGAGGACACACTGGATCGGGCGTCTCAGCGAACACTCTCCTGGCACTCTCGTCGAGCATGGTTTTGAAGACCGGCACGTTTCGTCGCCAAGGATGTAGTTTAGAAAGGGATGAGTCGATACCGCTGGGATCTTTGCGAAAGTCCGGGTTCTGCAGTTCCCAGTCGATCTGAGCTAGGCGTGCAGTGACATACTGGCAGACGGTAAGCCACTCGGCGCATATGATCTGCGACATGCGGAAGGACATGACACGTGGGTCTTGAGCCATTTCCTGGATGTCTGCTTGAGATGTTTGTTTGCACCAGTAGAGTAGCCTATCGAAGAGTGATGAGCGAGGGAGCTTGTCGAAAGGTCCCTTCTCGCTTAATGACGGAGTCTGCATGAAGTTGCGATTGCCACCCCAGAGTGGGAAACCTTCACCGAGTGTAGGATCGATCAGAAGTACACCTAAGTCGTAAGATATTGCTATGCCATGATAGACAGGGTAGATCACTTACTGATAGCGCCATGCTTCCCTTGGACCGCCGGCCTCCACCAGAATGACGCCCTGCTACGGACAAGCGCCACGGTAGCGCCCTCGTTGTCAAGCACGGTCTTGTGATTCTTGTCATTGTCCAGACGGCGGAGGATATTGAAAGACGCTGCCTCTGTTGTCGCTCTCTCAAATGAGGCTGGATTTTTGAAGTAGCGTGGCTGTAGATACTTTATGCGAAAGAAGCGTCTCTCACTCTGCACGACTCGTAGATCAGGCAACTCCACCCAAGGATCACGGGTATTGTACCAGATGTAATCGCTAATCTGTTCACGAAAGAACAAAGGATCAATGTCCAGCGCGTTTCCGAGGAGTTCAATCACATCTCTAGACAGATCCTCGACAATGTAGAGGCGGTGTGCGTCTGTAGATTGCTGGCTGGAATGGTCCTGTAA